GGCAAAGCTCCACGTGGAGCCAGTTTACATCAGCAGAGGATCAGGGCACAGCTCCTGGGAAGAGGGGAGGGACCCCGGCCCGCAGGGGCAGTTCAGCCGGGACACCAGGGGGTAGTGAGATCGTCAGAGATGCCAGAGCTCAGAGCCTGCTCTGACATCACAGCACCCCCTATTAACACAGACTGGTGTGCGCAGCCCTGGCCCTGCTTGCCCAGTTGTGTCCTCACCGGCTCTCATGCTGTTTGTGCAAATCACTGCCACACCAAAGCGAGCTGGGGCCAGTCACTCCACGCCTGGTGCACACCCGCACGCCTGGGGCCAGCCACCCCGCGCCTGGCGCACACCTGCACGCCTGAGGCCAGTCACCCCGTGCCTGGCGCACACCCGCGTGCCTGGGGTCAGTCACCCCGCGCCTGGTGCACACCCGGACGCCTGGGGCCAGCCACCCCGCGCCTGGCGCACACCTGCACGCCTGAGGCCAGTCACCCCGTGCCTGGCGCACACCCGCGTGCCTGGGGTCAGTCACCCCGCGCCTGGTGCACACCCGGACGCCTGGGGCCAGCCACCCCGCGCCTGGCGCACACCTGCACGCCTGAGGCCAGTCACCCCGTGCCTGGCGCACACCCGCGTGCCTGGGGTCAGTCACCCCGCGCCTGGTGCACACCCGGACGCCTGGGGCCAGCCACCCCGCGCCTGGCGCACACCTGCACGCCTGAGGCCAGTCACCCCGTGCCTGGCGCACACCCGCGTGCCTGGGGTCAGTCACCCCGCGCCTGGTGCACACCCGGACGCCTGGGGCCAGCCACCCCGCGCCTGGCGCACACCTGCACGCCTGAGGCCAGTCACCCCGTGCCTGGCGCACACCCGCGTGCCTGGGGTCAGTCACCCCGCGCCTGGTGCACACCCGGACGCCTGGGGCCAGCCACCCCGCGCCTGGCGCACACCTGCACGCCTGAGGCCAGTCACCCCGTGCCTGGCGCACACCCGCGTGCCTGGGGTCAGTCACCCCGCGCCTGGTGCACACCCGGACGCCTGGGGCCAGCCACCCCGCGCCTGGCGCACACCTGCACGCCTGAGGCCAGTCACCCCGTGCCTGGCGCACACCCGCGTGCCTGGGGTCAGTCACCCCGCGCCTGGTGCACACCCGGACGCCTGGGGCCAGCCACCCCGCGCCTGGCGCACACCTGCACGCCTGAGGCCAGTCACCCCGTGCCTGGCGCACACCCGCGTGCCTGGGGTCAGTCACCCCGCGCCTGGTGCACACCCGGACGCCTGGGGCCAGCCACCCCGCGCCTGGCGCACACCTGCACGCCTGAGGCCAGTCACCCCGTGCCTGGCGCACACCCGCGTGCCTGGGGTCAGTCACCCCGCGCCTGGTGCACACCCGGACGCCTGGGGCCAGCCACCCCGCGCCTGGCGCACACCTGCACGCCTGGGGCCAGTCTCCCCGCGCCTGGCGCACACCTGGGGCCAGTCACCCCACGCCTGGCACACACCCGCACACCTGGGGCCAGTCACTCCGCACCTGGCGCACACCCGGACGCCTGGGGCCAGCCACCCCGTGCCTGGCGCACACCCGGAGCCAGTCCTCAGCCAGCACTATCCACCCCATTTCTGTTCCTGCAACTTTTATTTTTCAAGCAGGAACAGGTTACAGTGATGAGCCCACGGGTTAGGGCCTGCCATCCACAGAGCCGGGGTACCAGGGCTGGGGGTAGGAGGGATCACTTTCTTTTAGGGAAAAGGGACGGGGGAACCAGCCCATCTGACTTGTTGACCAAACCGCTGCCCGTTTCCGAAGAGTATCTCTGTGCTGTGTCTACTGGTGACGCCAAGGTACGGGTGCCGAGTCTCTGCCCCCGCACACTGGCCTTGGCTGAGTAAATACAGCGATAAACAGGCTGCCATCCTGCCAAGGCCAAGGTCACAGCAGAGGGAATAGCACTAGGAGGATGCTCCCCCTATGGGGTTGTCTGTTGTGCTGGAGCAGCTTAGGGGGTAAAAGGCTAGCTTGGAAAGTCATTGGTTTGAATCCCCCTGCCCCTGGAAGTAGTCCCATGACTAACTAACAAATGGGTGAGCACACAGTAATGGTACCATCTGGGTGCCTCTCCTAGAAGGGATTTCACGATTTTTTCTCCTCCATCCCAAATTCAGCTGAAGAATGAAAATCTCAAAAGTGTTCACAAACTGATTTTGTTTTTCAGTTTGGGCCAATCCACGTCTTTTGTGTGGCTCATATGGCAACATTTTAGTTTCAGGTTGACCTTTCCTTTCTTTGGAACCTTTTCTCAAAAGCTCCTACATTCAGTTCCCGTCAGAAACCAAAATGTGGTTTGAACCAAAAAAACATAATAGGAAACTTTTCTTTTTGAGCATGTATAAGGTTCAATTTCCACAGTTACAGTTTCGAACCTTTCGGGATTTTAAAAAAAAAAATCAAGAGAGGAAATTTGTCAGCTCCAACTCTCTTGCCGCACACAGTTTTGATTCTCACACATTGGCATTTTTCAGCAAAAACAGTTTCATAAAACAATTCCCAACTAAGCTTAGTTCAGACCCCACCACTAACTCCGATCTATCATAGAATCGTAGAACTGGAAGGGACCTCGAGCGGTCATCGAGTCCAGTCCCCTGCCCGCATGGCAGGACCAAGGACTGTCTAGACCATCCCTGATAGACATTTATCTAACCTACTCTTAAATATCTCCACAGATGGGGATTCCACAACCTCCCTGGGCAATTTATTCCCGTGTTTAAACACCCCGACAGGAAGTTTTTCCTAATGTCCAACCTAAGCCTCCCTTGCTGCAGTTTAAGCCCATTGCTTCTTGTCCTATCCTCAGAGGCCAAGATGAACAAGTTTCTCCCTCCTCCTTATGACACCCTTTTAGATACCTGAAAACAGCTATCATGTCCCCCTCAATCTTTTCTTTTCTAAACTAAACAAACCCAATTCTTTCAGCCTTCCTTCATAGGTCATGTTCTCTAGACCTTCAATCATTCTTGTTGCTCTTCTCTGGACTTCCAATTTCTCCACATCTTTCTTGAAATGCAGTGCCCAGAACTGGGCACAATACTCCAACTGAGGCCTAACCAGCGCAGAGCAGAGCGGAAGAATGACTTCTCGTGTCTTGCTCACAACACTCCTGTTAATGCATCCCATAGTTTGGCCTTTAAAAAGCTGAGGAGGCCAAAGCTTTCCAAAGTGACCACTAATGTTGATTGCCTGAGTGGAGAGATTTTCGGGGCCAGATTACCACAGGGCTCCACATGTGGGGTCTGAGTCTCCCAACACACTAGGGATCTGTGGGGTGTTCAGCGCCACTAACAATGCAGTCTTTCTTTAGGTGCCCAAATAGGAGTGACAGGTGAACTCTCTCACACTAGACACTGGCTAGCTCACATCCAGCCCTCAAATCAGTGGCCACATTTAAGAATGAATGGCCTGAGTGTCTCTGTGCCTCAGTTTACCCACATTTAAAACAGGGATGACAATGCCTTTATAAAGTGCTTTGAGATCCCCGCCCTCCAGTGCGGCGCGGTGTCTGCGAGTGAGCAGTCAGTGCCCCGTGGATCGACAGCACCACCCGGAGGGGCCGCTGGAACACAGGGGTCAGCGCTCTGGTTTGCTCGGGGCACAGTCAGGAGACGGGGGAAGGTGCTGTGCTATTTCTAGATCCCAGAGTCACTCCCTGAAGGTGCTGCACCAAGGCTGCATGGGGAAGGGTCAGTTTCCTGGCTGGCTGCTGAAGGGCACGGGGAGGGTAAGGCTTTTCCCTGGGCCTAACCGAGGCCTCCAATCTTACCCCACCCAGCATGTGCAAGTGACGGGTCACGTTACCGGCGCGGCGAGAAAGCTTCCATCCAGTCACCGTGATGGGATAAGGAGTAGCTCAGCCCAGGCCATCGGTGGGGGAGATTGGGGCCGAGCTAGCCAGGAGCACGGAGCTGACCACAGGCCGAAGGGGCGTGACACCAACCTCCCCAGCTGCCCTGCCCCTAAACTCGAGAGCCATGGGCTGTGGGGGGATGACAATCCAAACCGGGGCCCCGAGATCACAGCTCTGCCCCCTGCGAATCCCACGGAACTGCCACGGCCCCTCTGCTTCGGCCGCACACCGGCCTCCCCACCCTGTCCCTGCACCGTGCTTGGCCACAAGATCCCAGGCAAACACCCCCCCTCCTGAGAGCAACCTGCCCAAGCTGCACTCCATCCTGCACACCCGGGAGCTGGGCTCCGCACTTGGCAGGGACCTGCCGCTGGCGCAGGGCTAGGGATGTTAAATATCGGTTAATTGAATAGTCGATGAACCTCATGAATTCTTAGTGGTTAGTCAACTATTCTATGGTCCCTGGGGGTGAGGCTGGCAGCCA